GAGGGAGGGGAGGGAGGAGGGGAGGGAAGGGGAGGGGAGGGAGGGAGGGAAGGGAGAGGGAGGAAGGGAAGAGGTGGAAGAGGTGGATGGAGAGTAAGGATTTTTTTTGTCTGTTTGTTAGTTTTAGTTTCTTTGTCTTTGGTATTCATTCTCTCTTCCTCTGTCTGTTTGTCTGTCTTTCTGTCAGTCAGTCTATGCCCTCTTCTTTCTCTTCCCTCCCATATCACTCGCGAAAAAACACACCAACACTCTCTCTCTCTCTCTCCTTTTTCTCTTTACCTCTCCCTGTCTGTTTCTCTTTCTCCCTCTCTCCCTCTCCCGCTATCTCTCTGTTTCTCTATCTCTCTCTCCTTTCCCTCTTTACCTCTGGCTCTCTGTTTCTCTCTCTCTTTCTCTTTTTCTCTCTTTCCCTCTCCCACTCTCTCTCTCTCTCTCTCTCTCTCTCTCTCTCTCTCCTTTTTCTCTTTACCTCTCCCTGTCTGTTTCTCTTTCTCCCTCTCTCCCTCTCCCGCTATCTCTCTGTTTCTCTCTCTCTCTCTCCTTTCCCTCTTTACCTCTGGCTCTCTGTTTCTCTCTCTCTTTCCCTCTCCCTCTCCCTCTCTCTCTCTCTCTCTCTCTCTCTCTCTCTCTCTCTCTCTCTCTCTCTCTCTCTCTTCTCTCTCTCTCTCTCTCTCTCTCTCTCTCTCTCTCTCTCTCTCTCTCTCTCTCTCTCTCTCTCTCTCTCTCTCTCCCTCTCTCCCCTGCTTCGTAGCCCCAGCGTCGCCTGCAACCCAGATCAGTAACTCTGGCCAAAGCGCCTCTTTTCTGGTGCCTTTGTTTGCTCTTTCGTTCGCATGCCTTCCGTTTATCACTCGCGGTCCCTCTCCCTCTTTCTTTCGATGCTCAGCTGGAATGTTCGATTTGTGGGAGTCGAAATGGCATTCAGAAATCGCTTTACGCACAAGTAAACGAGGGCATGCACAGGTACACACAGATACACGCATACACACGCATAGGTACACGCAGATACACGCATGCACACGCATAGGTACACGCAGATACACGCATACACACGCAAATGCAGACACAGATACACACATACACCGTCATACACACACTCCCTTCTCCCGTCTTCGCTTGCTCTTTGTCTGTCTGTCTGTCTGGCTTGTCTGTTCGTCTGTCGAATGTCTATCTCTATCACTCTTATGAACACAAATTTGAACTACAAAGTATACAACATATCAATAATTATAATTGATGATGACAATGACAATTACGATAATGATAAGACGATGATGACAATGGTAATAATGCTGCCGCTACTGATGATGATCATTATGATAATGAAGACAGTAATAATAATAGTAATAGTAGTAGTAGTAGCAGTAGTAGTAGTAATAATAATAATAATAACAACAACAATAATAGTAATATTAATAATTACAATAACAACAACAATAATAATAGTAATGCCAATAATGATAAAAATAACAACAACAGCAACAATAATAATAATAGCAATATCAAGAATGATAATAATAACAATACTATCACTACCACTACGAACTCTCATCAACAATACCATTGATAACAAGAACAACACCAACGATTTTTTTTACTTTTTATTTATCTTTTTATCAACGATCAAAGATAAAATCTGACCTGCAGGAAGCCGCTGACGGTGGCCCCGAGGACCTGCAGGATGGTGTCGTATCCCGATTCTTGACAAAACTGGAAAAACATCTTCCCGAACATCTCGAGGATCGCGTTGGCCGGCACTCCTGCGGGGGAAGGGAAGGAGAGCTGGAGGTTCTCTTCTGTGGCATTTTGCCGACCAGGGAGGGCTTCTGGCGGGGGCATCTGCGTGTGTGTGTGCATAAATATAGACATATACATATAGATGCACACACACACACACACACACACACACACACACACATATATAATATATATATATATATATATATATATATATATATATATATATATATATATATATATATATATATATATATATATATATATATATATATATATATATATACATTAATATAATCATATATATATATATATATATATATATAAATATGTATATATTAATATAATATATATATATGTATATATATATATACATTAATACAATCATATATATATGTATATATATATATACACACATATACATACATACATTAATATAATCATATATCTATCTATCTATCTATCTATATATATACATACACGATATGCACACATACACGATATGCACACATACACGTATATATGTATATGTATATCTATCTATCTATCTATATATATATATCTATATATATATGTATATATATGTATATGTATATGTATATGTAAATGTATATGTATATATATATATAAACATACACACATATATATATATTATATATATAAATACTATATACCGCATATATATATGTGTAACACACACACACATATATGGTGGGTAAAAATGGTTGGGTTTTTGGGGGGGTTTTTGGTTTTTATTTAGAAA